AAACTACCAAAGCATCTCCCGGGGATCGAACTTTAAACATTGTAATGAACAGAACAGAACACAATGTGACAATTGAGGAGGATCAAAAATTGCAACAAACCTAAAACAATAAGGCAATTCAGGAAAATGAGAAGATTCACAAAATTGAAATATCCACTCCTTTTGTTTCACATTTATTCACATCTACAGATGTTTTTTTTTTCATTTGCAAGTAACATTCGAGAGCTAATAAAATACGTCATCATTTGACTTTGACTTTTCATCCTTGCCTGTTCTGCATAATTATAACTTTTATATTGAATTGAGAGGCAAGGATAGAGAAATAAATAAACATGATTTGCCGACCAAAAAGTGTGTCCATGTTTTTAAAAAAATATTTTATTTTTAGCCATATTATTCTATTTTTTAAGAATAGAGATGTTCATCTCATTTTCTGAAAATGAATTATATTAATTATTTAATGTGATATGTTTTATCATTCTTCATGAACTTTAAGATTTATGATACTCATAATATAACGAATGAACCGTGTAAAGAATCTGTAACGAACTTTTGGGACAACCCTCGTATGTATGCAAAAAATTATTGAATCAAATGATATAATTCAATGTTAAGCTTGTATTAGATTATTATATTTAACCCAAATCTAAAAAGAAATAAACCATAAAAATCCGGAAAGAAAGTGATCCCTCGGAAGCATTAATCACAACAAATTTACAAGAAAATTGCAGTCTATAATGGTTTTAGGTGATGGTGGTGCTCTGGAAATAGCAACTGTATATATATACAGTTGCTATTTTCATATATGAAGGTTCTTTAGCTATAAATGAGGAATGCTTTTTGAAGGAGCATTCTGAATAGTATCTTTTATCACTTCTTCGTTTTCAAAAATTATTCATAATATGATATTAATATGAAATATTCCCATGTCTTACAAATGCTTCACTCTTAACAAAAAATACGCTTTTCGGGCATATAATGCTCCGCCTAGTGGTGCTCTTAAGATAATTAAAAGAAACGCGTTTATTTAAGAACACGCAAGAAAAATAGAAACATGTAAAGAAAGGCAAAAATTAAAAATTCGTATGACAACCATTGATTATGTCCTTCTCACTATAAGAGATCGATAGGTCGCTATAAATATTTTGACCGACTCTTGTTTCAAACTATTTTTTACATTCAATATGCTAAACACAGTCCCATTCTTGTTAATATTATTTCCTCAAACAATAGCTTCAGTTATATGGCAGTTACAGCAAAGGTTTAAGTTTTGGATCATCTCTCGTCCCTCAAAATAATTATGTATATTTTACTTGTAGCTTTTATGTATTTTTATCTCTGTATTAAAGCTTGTTTTCTTATAGATATTTACCTTTTGAATGTTAATTTGTTAAGTAAATCCAGATAAAATATTAAAAGTACTTTACAAAAGAAACATACTTGTTATTTTTTTCGTCTTTTTCACGTTTTTTTTTCAAATTTACTTACAAATTATTCAGTCATTATGCATATATCTGTAATCCACGTAGACAATATTTGGTGAAAGACCAGTGTTTACCTCAGCGAAACGTAAACGTTCAAATCATTTTTCTATCCCTCTATCTTTCTTTCTCAACTTACCTTAACATCTGTGCGTAGCAAAATGTTCTTATCTGTCCAAACAATTATCTTGATTCATATGGAATCGACACATGTTTATCTTTAGAAGCTGATTTATCTTAATAATGTCTGTGTTACCAATGTTAAGTGCTTGAAAACCCGATATTCTACATACATTGCCCCTTAACCCTTGTGACCGAGGGATTGTCTTTAATGGTTAAGGTATAAGAATTGACGTAATTGTTTATCACTGCGTAATCGTAAGAGGCGACTGAGTGGGTTCGAATAACTGGAGTTTATGCATCTCTTAACCGCTTGTGGCTGAGAGACTGCTGTTAATGGTTGAGGCATAAGAATTGCAGCCACCGTTTTTCGAGTAACTGGAATCTATGCATCTCTTAGCTTCCGCAGGTGAGGTGCTCTTGACCAGTAAATTTTGACCCCGTTGAAACTGACCCTATGGGTCATTCTTTAATGTTGAGAATTGAACCTAGGTCATTTTTCAACGTTGACAATCGACCCTGCTAACAATTCAACAATTTAAAGTCGTTGAGAAATGATGAATCGTTAAAGTTTTATCAAATTAGGGTCATTTTAACGGTTAGGTAATCGTTATTTAATCGGGAAACGCTTAGAAAAAAATAGAATTTCTCATAGGAGTCATAAAAAATGATTTCACAATCATAACATGGCCAAGCATCGGTCCATGCAAACTACTTCGGCGAGAAAGGCAAGGGACTCTATATGTTGGAGAGAAAAAACTATTTTACGAACATTTAAGACAATGATTGGTCGGAGTCCGACATGTCCTTAGAGACTTCCACAGAGGGAGCATCTTTTCAAACTAAGTTCTTTTGTCCAATGATAATTAATGGTCATTTTACGAACTATTATAATCAACTATTGAAATTCATTAAAATGTCTATAACTATAGTCATGGTTTTAAAAAATATTCTCTAAACATTGTGTTAAGAACGATTAAATGCTCCATATGGTGTGCATAAATAAATGTATCTATATCCATAGATACATCATGAATTTAATATCTTCACACGCTTTAGATAATAAAAAGGGAAAGTAACCAATGTTGAAACACTACCTTTCTCTACCTTTCTCGCAGCGGTTACTTCTCCTGATCAGTAATCTCAATACAGAAAAGTTGATGAACGAAGTACAAATAAAATGCATTCTAATCCAATTTAATGAAAAATTTAAATATAACACAGCTGTTGTAAACATTCATTCTAAGAGGTGTTAATGAATTTTAATTATTGTGATACATTTTAAACATAAATAACGGAATAAGGCTTTAATACAAGCAGGCGAGTCCTTTTGACAGCGTAAAAACAACATGAATATGCAATGCAAAATAGTTCACTACATAAGTCCGTAATCAGTTATTGCCGATAGATTGACAAATTGCTATAACCTCCTGGTCCACATGAATAAAATGATTAAATATTCATTATGTAAAAGTCTGAATGACCCATTGGATCAATTTTCAACGAGGTCAAAAAATATCCTGGACAAAAGCCCCTCACCTGCTGGAGCTTAGAGATGAATGGACTCCGGTTACTCGAAAAAGGGTGGTTGCAATTCTTATGCCACGAAACATATATAAGAACTATCCGATACCTGTCCAAATGTTTAAAAAAATATATGCATCGTGCTTGAACTTAAAAAAAATCTGTGCATAGCTAAAACTACATCTAGTAGGACAAAATCAATATCATCTTATTGAGATGTCACTTTTTGTGTTTTTTTCATGTTTTACAAACACATGTTTATCTAAATGAGATAGTGATTGTCACAAAATGATTTTTATTTTCAATCATAATATTCCAACACATCTATGATTTTGATATTTACAATCACCCTTAGAATTCATACAGACATATACGTAAAACCAACAAAAATCTAAATTAATTTGTTTTCAAACGGCCTGAATATTTTAACGATTCTTGATTTTGTAAAATATTTGACACCTTGTATAACAGTAAATAACTTCATTTTATTTGAAACCAACTCGAATCCATTATAAGACTAAAGTAAAGTAAAGTCACTGACCAAACAAAAAAGGTAATAATATGGGTAGATGGCAGTATGGTGATATATCGGCGACCGCCTCCAGGTTTCTGATTAAAGTTCAAAGTAGTATAAACCTTTTCACTATAACTAAGTATTTACTTCAAAGATGAAATATATGATTCTGATCACCAACCACATCATATGTGACAAGTTTCCTAACTCTTGCTCTAATATTATCAGAATCACCCCCATTGAAATTAGATTTTCATGTAGAAATGAAATGTTTTTTTTTGTCCAGGTTCAATTTCAGTAAAAATCCATTTTCTATTAAAGGCATATCAGGATGAAAAATTAAAGCTTTCGTCAGCCAATAGTATAAGTTAGTTAGAATGCATGTAGGATGTAGGTTGACTGGCTCTTTACTAGTGGCAAAAATATTATCGCTTTTGGATCAAGCGGTGTAAGAGGGGATTCTTCTGCAACCATTGCATATAATAAATATGAAGTGAAAGGAAAACACTGTGATTCAAATATTTAATGTACTGAAAGGGTAGTCATCGCAAAGACGCAATTATAAATAAACAAACAGAAATCATTATAGTTGTATTATTTTATTTAAATAATAATAATTATGTGATCTGAAGCTGTGATACAAACATAAAGCGCATGCGTTATAAATATCTATATTGTGGTAAATAAAAAAGTTAATTACTTGGGAGAGAAATATCAATATTAATCATTTGTAAACATATTGCGCATGTTGATTCAGGCTTTGCAATGTGTCAATAAACAGATGTTTATCACTGATGTAAAACGGACTCTACCGCATGTTTTTTTACATGATAGGAATGGTTATTTTACCATTTTAACATTTGATTTTGGTCTTTACCAAAGAGTGTGCAAAGTTCAAGATCCTTCTGCCAGAATTATCATTTGTTTTACGAAATAACCTACTATGAAAACATTTTACGCTAAAAACTCAAATCCGGCTAAAATCGCACATTCATCGATTTTCATTTTTATTCTGAGTATATTTTTCTTGATCATATTTTCCCGTTTCAGTGTCCCATTTGATATTTATAAGATTTTCAAATTTTATGTTTTAGACCTCAGTGGCACAAACTTGTAAACAATGAAACCACCCTATACGTTTGGAGCGCCACTGTTGACTGTTGGACATAATTTGAAAAGGATTTGCCTGTGAACGAACAATGTGAACAAAATAAAATGAAAAGTAAGATACAAACAAAGTATTAACCCATTACCTAATGAATTATGTAAAGGTGAAAACAGTCTTGTACTTGTGTACAAAAACAATTTGCACTGCTATTTCATATAAATAGGTATTATAATTCTCAATTTTGGTGCAAGTTTTTAATTTTAATATATTCGTTTCTACAAATTTTATAATATGCTAGAATACACTTGTCTTTTGTTCCGTATTATATCGTCGTCTGTCCCTTTCTCGGGCTGCTGATTCCTTTTGTGGTTGTGCGATGAAGAATCCGGAGTCCGACCTCTGACTTTGGCCTTGCAGTATCATTACTGGCATAATGACCCACAGCTAGGTTATCACTAATAAGAAAGTCTCCATCTTGCCACTTGAATAAAATGACAAATATTTAATTTTTTAAAAGTGGACTGTATATTTTATATAAGTCTAGGCCTACACATACAGAAAACGAAACCGCCATTGTTTGATTTTTAAGGTGTCTCTGGATGCTTTATTTGTGTTGCATCGAACATTTATTGTGAACATTGGTTAGAGTCACCTTTTTCAATCATTAAGCTATATTTTTTGCCGTGTCGGTTTCTGACTCTTAGTCACATAGTACAAAGAATCCAAGCTCCAGAAATTAGTTTTTTTAAAGCACTTTGGAAAGTAAAATGATACAAATTAATATACTGTACATGAATATCATAAGTAATGAAAAATGTTTGAACTTCATTTTGCGTTTAGTTACTAAACGGAATGTTAGTTACAGAAACATTTACTTTATTTTAGATAGAAAATAAAATTAAAAATTTTGTTTTACTTTATTACTCTTTGCCCTTTTTTATGATAAACTGCATGTATTTTGCATCAATCAGTCAAAGGTATGTCGAAATAATTACTGATTGCAACTCTGTAAAAAAAACTGAAAGGGGAGATCTCTGAAGGTCTGTTAATACAAAGCTTATAGGTGACAATTACAGGCCCTGGTTTAATAAGACAATTCGTGAGAGCTTATTTAATGTACAACACCCCTAACGCCAAAAGATACCGCCGAATCAAACGGTATGTAATCCTGAACAATAAATATTTGAAATCAAAAATCCAGAAAATGTTGTGAGAGTAAAATTATGGAATTTTCTCCTTTTTTACTTTCCTTATTTACTAGTAATAAAATGTGTTTAAATGACACCTCTTGCATCACGCTGGTATTCTGTAATCAAGATATGTATTTTTATTGCAAAATTATTGCAAATTTAATTACAAACCTCGTGTGAATATATCAATCTTCTTTCGTCTTTTTCTATCTCTTTTCTAATTTCTTCTAGTAATTGATTAGTCTCGTCAAGATCAGTTCTTCGCTCATTAGGCATGTCTTTGTCCCAAATAAAAGCTTCCGTATTACCCAGATGGATGCACATTACCTAAATGTGAAAATAAAGCTTCTATATTATCCAGATGAATGCACATTACCTAAATATGAAAATAAAAGCTTCCGTTTTATCCAGATGAATGCATATTACCTAAATGTGAAAATAAAAGCTTACGTATTACCCTGATGAATGCACATTACCTAAATGTGAAGATACGCTTTGTTCAAATTTCATATAATACAGTAAAATACATTGTGATAAAGAGTTTGAGTGCTGAAGTTGCTGTCTATTGATGTATTATTTACTAATCATTACTATTTTAACACATTTTTTTTATTGATGTTTACTATTTCATAAAAAACAAGAATCCAATATGTTATAAGTTAATTTTTCACAAAACATTACTACTTAACGTTCTGAGGACCTTTTTTTACAATTTATTACGGCAAAGGAGAAGTGTTATTGTAAGAGACAATGTATTACTATATAAAATTATCCAGTCCATGGCAATAAGACTAGTTGAGGTCAGAGGCTGTGATATAATATTTAAAAAATGAGAACAAAAAAAACTAAACAAGGAAGGACAACATAACCAAGCCACATCGGCAGGGTACCCGAAAGGCACCGAACTAGATTGCATAAGGGCGGAGAAGGGAGGGATGAACATGCCAGTTACTGTAACAATTGTCTAATAGGACAAATAATATGAAAAACTAAGTTTTCTTGTATCTCATATAATTTGTTACACCTGTATGGCCATGATTGTTTATCTAAAGCAGTTTTACAGACGAAACACAATATCTCTACTACCGGTTTAAACTTCCATTCTAAGAAAAATTTGCTTACGAATTTAATTTACTAGCAACTTGATTACGAAAACGTCCCATATGTGATGAGATTTCTTGCGTAGCTTAAGGACAAGAACTGAACTTCAATAATATGAACTTAAAACTATTTTGAACAACTGTATAAAATACTGTATACTTGTTTGCCTATCTCATAAACAACCTATTCGTTGTTTGGATGTGTTATTAAAGGAGCTTCATTGACGTTCAAAAGTTTAAAGACATAAAATGTGACATCTTGCAAATATTAGCTGTGGCACTTAAAACAGAAAAATATGCAAAAGATAATTAACAAATTTGTTCAGACTTAAATAGGAAATAGTTTAGTTTGATTCTTATCCCAATCTGAAAAAAAAAGTTTAAGTGATTTTAGTTCATTTTGTTTTCACCATAGAATAATGATTCTAACCAAAAAAAATCTGAAATTTTGCAAAACTTATTTGATTATACCAACTTCGAATTGTAAAAATATATCGAATTTTTTCCCCACTCCCGTCTTGTTAACAAACCTCAACGGAATCCCCTTAGATTGTTACATGCATAAACTACAAGCATTGTGATTAAAGAATACATTAATTCTCTTTCATAATATCTTTAAGGAAATCACATTCGGATTGTCCAGTATCTGGATGAGGATAAACTAACGGATGGGTAAGTTTTTCTCCCATATCGGCAACCATCCAGAGACGCTCCCATCTTGCTCTCATTTCATCAGAAATACATTTTAGAAGCTCCTTGAACCCAATAAATTCTGAAAGAGAAAAAAAATAGGTATTAAATATGTCATTGTTTTATCTGATATATGCCATCGTTTCACATGTTCAGATAGACGTGTCAATTTCTCATTTAAAAGTCAAATATGATCTCAAGTATCGAAAAAAAAATCAATTAAAATTAGAAATGTCGGTCAATTGTTTCAACAAAGATGACCGCAAATCGTTTATCAACTTTTGGTCCAAATCCTAAAAATAATATACAATTTTTGACTAGTAAGCCATTGATTGTGATGTGATATTCAACGACAGATGACAGTGTCTAACTAGTCAATAATTGTTTTATTACATGAACATACGAGTCACAGAAAGTGAGGCTTTATAAGGAAATTCAAAACATAACTTTTGTCTGATTTCATTGAAGCGCGGGGAAAAAAGACGTACGTAAACAAGATGATGCCACTCAAATAAAAAATGATTCAAATTTATACTCAGCAACTTTTAATTATTAACATAAAGTAATTATAATATATAATGATATTTTATTCGAGAGAATGCCATACAGAAATAAACGTAGAAATAATGTTTTAATGTGCACGCTTGGTTAATAGTCTTCGATGTATGGTCATTGAATATGAGTCTCAATCTTTTTTCAAATTCGATAAGTTCCAGTTCAGCCAGTGAATGTGATACAACATGCAGTTAAACTACTGTTTGGGCCAATGAGACTGCAGCTATTTTAGATAGTACAATAATCCTTTAAATATCGAAATACCTGACAACAATGCAAATTCATATTCAAAGGGATTACTTTAGGAATCATTCGTAATTCAATAAAGATTTAGAAAAACATAGTTATTTATGGTTATCTCGGAATATGAAAGCGGAGTTCATGACACGTTCACAATATCAGTAAAAAGTAAAAAAAAGCAGTTATTAATTATTTCATTCACCTGTAGCGCCGGTCTTTGGCACAGCTACGATATGGTAAAGGGAATATTTGAAAGGCTCGTGCAAGTAACAGCCCCGTTGATTATTCCAAACCGTCGGGTTATTTCTGCATGCTTTTCCCCGGTCACCACACCCTGGTCTCTAAAAATCACTATTCGGTGTTCAATAATTAACTTCTTGATATTTTGGACCATTTCGTCTGAAAATATTGACTGCTCCGTTAGACGGAATCCTCGAACTTCTACGCCTAATTTTATTTGAGATATTTCCATTGGTGATAATGAATGTGTTATAGCGATATCGTTGTATAGCAGAAATGCTGACTTTTTCTTCTAACGTTTGTCTCGGAAATTTTGATTTGTTTGTCAAACTTGTATCATAAATTCCGTGACAGAGTTTGTTTGAAATTTAAATTGATGAAAATGCGTGAATAATTTTTTAATAATATCAACGACAATAGCTAATATATATATTTGTAGATAACGTGTTTTCATTTATCGTTATTTTATGGTGATTTTTTTTATGATTTCAGTTGTAACAGATGCAACATCATCCATTTCCTTTATACCGATTTTTAAAAAAGATATAAGCAATGATGATTTTCTTATGATTGTTGTCTTTAGATCAAGTCATACATTGTTTAATGTAATGAATTAGATCGTTCTGAGTGTATTATTAAGTTAATAATGTTGCCGAGAATAAATGTCTACTTCGACTCCAACGTAAGATTCACTTCACTTCTGTACTAATGTATTTTTAAATATAAAACTTGGCTTTGTGATAATAAGCAAAAACCTGAGTCAAATAGATTTAAAAGGGTAAATATGAAACCATCATTACGTTTGAACAATAAAAGTTAGTACATTTGTTAAGATTTAAGATTCTTTTGTATAATTCATCACACCAATACTGCAATTGAAATAAATAGACAGACAGACAGACAGACAGACATAATTATTTTAATCAAATAAGGCTTATAAGCCCATGATGACAAAATTACAGCATTTTTACAAGATAACGAACAGTGCATATGTAAACATACAAAACATTAACACAATATGATTATGACTTTACAGGAGAAGGTCATATAACAATTTATTCGACTAATGCAAATATTGAATTATATTTGTATGAACGCATGTAACATATTGTTGAAATTTACAAACAAACAATATCTTGATGGCATAAAGATATCTTAATTTTAAAATAAATTTAGTTGCAAATTTTAGGAATTGTCGTATGAAAACATTTCATTTTGCGCTACATGTAAGAAATAATCAGACATGAACCTTAATCCGATTCCAATCATAATAAGTATAACTTACATAAGAATCAAAAGAAGATAAATAATGAAATTAAAAAAAAAACACAAAAAACAACAACAAATGTTGTAATGTTTCAGTTACTGTGTTTTTAGTTCTAGTTAAATTTGTTTTCTTACCTTTGAAATTCTTTTATTTTGGTAATGTGATATTTTCTTAGGTGTTTTCAAATATTACTTTTCATATGAACTAATTATAAAAGCAGTGTTGTTTTTGATTGCGCGAAGTAAATAGATATATGAATAAAAAATAAAGAATAAATAAACAAACAAATATGCGTTTTTATATAACTGTTAATTTCCGGCGTCATCAATTTTGATCTTACCTCTAAGCACTTAGTCACACATCTCTTAGAATATCCACTCTTATGATACTCCATCAACTGCGCCAGTTATATTTACTAGAAATGCTTTAAATGCAGTATTTAACAGTGAATATAAATCTGATTTAACCGTAAATATTATTCCACTAACTTTCAAAGTTACATAAATAACTGCTACATTCAGTTCATTCATTGATTAAGATCACACATATCAACTTCTAGCACTCGCAGTTATCTGTTTAATCTTGATAGCCATAGGCTGCTGTTTATGTGTCTATCATTAATGTCAGTAAATGGGCGGAGCCACATTTGCATCAATTATACGATCTTTTGTATCATAGTGTGGTTAAATCGTTTACATATACATGCATAATGCGTTTACTGGAGTGCAGGTATAAGTTACCCGCACTACAGAGCATGTCCATTGATTTTCTGGGGTTTACTTATTGTGACGAAAGAGAAAAGGATACCGATAGAAATGTCAAATGCCTGTTCATTGGTAACTTTTTTTCTGGGGTTTCATATTGTGACAACAGGGAACGTGTTTTTATTGCTAACTATGATACAAAAGAGAAAGAACATCAAAACACTCGGCAATCTGATTTATACTCGGGGGCTACAACCCCTCGTACAAATCAGATAGCCTCGTGATTATTTCTTAAACTGAACCATTTCTTAAACCGTTTTTTCTCGGTAACTGTAGGTAATATGTGTTGAATATTCGTACTTTTTTCTAATTTTCTCTTTAAAACGACTAAAACGTTTTCTCGAAAACTTACGACCTAATAACGGTCACGAATGTGACGTGACCCGAATACTTATTTTAGTGACTAAACCTTTATGAATACTTCCAAACTTTGGAACTATATAACATAAGAAAACAATTCTAAACAAAAATCATCGTACTTGACACCA